AAGACTTATCATAACGCTTTCCCCTTGTCGTATCGTGGGACGCAAGGTGACCTTATGCTGGCATTTCGTATCATTAATTATGATTTGCGTGTTAATATGTTTTATCCTCTTGCTTCCTCCAGCACTAATAATCTCCGAGGTCATAGCAAGAAGGTTCATAAACCGTGGTCTAATAACGTAATGTGGGGCCTCATTTTTCTAACCGAGTAGTCAAGGTTGGAACGCCTTGCCCGAACAAGTGGTATGAGCCCTATCATTGAATATTTTCAGGGAGAAACTGGATTTTCACTGGAAGGCAAGATGTCAACATTAACACAGGTTTACCAACCTACCTTCCCTAATACTGAAGATTGAATGGTACGGAAACATAGTATTTCCTTCCTCACTCTACTAGGATAAGGACAGTCTGGGGCGTATTAAACGGCGAGCCACGAAATCATTTCGGGGACTCAAATTCAAGCCTTTTATATAACTCCTTCAATCATTTAACCTTTACCCATCAGGGTATAGGCGTCTTAAAGGTGACGTTCTAATGGCTTACAGTATCAGTTTCAGTTTGGAAGGGACAAGTGGCTTTACGATCTGTGTTGGTCCTGGCAATGGTGATCTCTCAGTCGATCCAACTTTCTTTTGAAATAGTCGACGGATGGAGCCTCAGCCACGTGCTGAGGTAATGAGTCCCACTCGTTGATGATTCGATGGGAAATTCGATAGTCATCTGACAAGTAATTTGTTCTGGGCTTGTGAACTTTTTTGGAGTGTCCTCGTAAATTCTCTGTTTTGGAAGACAAGAAAAATGAGGGCATATTAGGTGCAAATTTATCACTAAGCGATTTGTAGACTGTAATCAAGTCGCCTCTATTTCTGCGATGTGACAACGGAAAAAGGTTTAGCTTGGCCAGTTGAGCATCATACGGATGCTTCGCTATTCCGGGAATCAGCTTAGTTGCTGTTCTCTGAACCTTTTCCAGAAGCTCGCTGTCTGTTTTTAAGCAGGGGCTAGCGCTTGTATGCAGTACTCAAGTTTCGGAAGTGCGAACACTGTATGCAAAGTCAAAAACGTTTTAGCGTTGACATGACTAAAAGCCCTACGTATTGACCATAAGGTTCTAAAACCTTTGGTGGCTATTGCACGGCAGTGTGCAGTAGACTTTACGTCTTGGTTAACGACGACTCCTAAGTCATTATATGTCTGGACGACAGGTAGTTCTGTGTTATTCATCGTGTGTGTATCTGTACCTTGATGATCGATATGCATCACAACACAGTTGGAAGTATTTATCGGCAACTGGCAGGTTTGAGACCATTCAGATAATTTCTTCAGGTCATTTTGGAGTTCTAAGCTATCACCCTTACATCGTATCGTTCTCCATATCTTGACATCGTCAGCATATAGCAAGACCGATGATGATAGGAGGCGAGGAAGGTCATTTACATACAAGAGGGATAGCACTGGCCCCAAAACTGTACCCTGGGACACTCCACTAAGCACAGTTTCCCAGGCGCCCAACTAGGAAGTATTATCCACACCAATAGATTGCCTTTGATTCCGACATTTCTTAGCTTATATAACAGCCGGGTGTGCGTAACTTTATCAAAAGCTTTGCTGAAATAAATGTAGGTTACCTCTACAGGCAACGTTTGGTCCTTAATAGCGACTAATAAGTTAGTGAGACAAGAATAACCTATTCTAAAACCGTGCTGCTTCTCCGAAAGGATCCGGTTTTGATCGAGGTACTTAAACAGCTCCTTCCGAATAATCTTTTCTAAGATTTTGACAACCACACTAGTTAGGCTAACGGGGCGGTAGTTCCCAGGTTTGTGTTTCGTACCTGTTTTGAAGACAGGACTTACTATGGCGTTCTTCCAGTATTTTGGTAAACGATCCTGCGTTACGGATAGATTAAAGCATATAGTTAAAGGGTTCGCAACGAAGTTAGATAATTCCTTCATTAGCCTAGGATGCGATTCATCGGGCGTCGTGGATTTACCTATGTCAAGCTTATTTAGCGGACCGAAGACATGGAGTTCTTTAATGGTCACGCTATCCAGTGTATATGTGGGGGGATTTGTATGAGCTGATGGGAAGGGCGCTTCTATGGTATATACGTTGCTAAAGTTGTTCGAGAACACTTGAGCCTTACCAAAGTCGTCGTCCTGTAATGATGCGGCAGTACTGTCTACCCATAGTACAGGAATATTTCCTCTTCATTTTGTCCTTTCGTTTATATAGGAATACAAGCGTTGAGAACATTCTATGGATTCCTTAACAATTTTTTTTCGCACGACTTTCTAGAATTACGGAGGGTTGATGCACAGGTATTTCGAGCTTTTCGATACTGAGATTTTGTCTCATCAGTCCGCAGTAACCCAAATATATCCCACATTTTTCTTCTCTTACGGAGAAGGATGCGGACCTCCTTACTGAACCATGATGGAGAGTTTCTCGGCCTCCTTGGTATAGTCCAAGGAATGAGGGGTGCGGTAAATTTCAAGTATAAATTTCGAAATGCGTCCCAAGCCGTTTAAATTGAGGACTCTGAGTCTATAGTCCAATCTACTAACGATGCTGAGTGCATGATATCTAGTATGTTTGCTTTCCAGACGTTAGGTCTGGATTGAGCTAACGCGTGCTCGTGATTGACAGTTATATGGAAGTCGAAATTTAAAACTGCGTGATCACTTACCTAGGAGTAGCATGTAATAGAGGTTCGCAACGTCATCCTCATAGTGAGTCAATGTAAGATCTAGTAAGGATGATTCAGTGTTCGGGTCGTACCTAGTGGTTTCTTTCATATGTTGCACTAGGGCACATGTGATAACCGCATCAACTAGTTCCTGCTCGAAGGAATTTTCTGACGGTTCAGTTCGCAGATTATCCCAGTCTACCATAGGTGCATTAAAGTCCCTAGACATCTACCATTTTGTGACCAAGTATTGAGACTGCTTAGCAGGACCTCATTTACCTCACAGCTTGGACTACGATAGACCAAACCAATCAGCAGTTCTCGTCCCTTGGTTTTCAAGCGGCAACTAACTAATTCACACGTCCCATTCTTATGGGATACGTTGTCGATAATGGCATTCCTAATGAATAGAGCTATTCCCCCTCCTTTACGCTATTGTATTTTGTTGGCCCTTGCTAACGTACAGCCCTCGAAATCAAGCTCCATACTATCTATAGACTGTGTCAGCCAGGTTTCTGTGACTGCGATTATGTCTGGCTTTGTAGAGTCAATCTGTACACCTAGTTCCGATCGCTTATTTGAGTAAGCTTCGGACATTAGTGTAACAGATCCGAAGCCTATTTAATTGGCTTCGGCATCATTCTCTGTCGAAGCATTACAACCCGAAAATTTACAGTTTTTATGTCCTTTTCGCCAGCATCCTTAACACTTCAGGACATTCCCTTAAACACTTCGACATTACTCCAGAATCATCCGGATACCACTACATAAGAAGTGATAGACGTAGATGTAGGAAAGGAGGTGGCGTCGTTTTATACATAGCCAATAATATAAATATCCGCTGCTTTGCTTGCGAATCCTATAATAGTGGAACTTGTGAAGTCATTATCTGTGATCCCACTACTGGATGTTATACGTTTATACTCGGTGTCATCTATCACAACCCAATCTACTTAACTGATGACTTCATTTTAGAGCACATTGAGCTATGAATTGCAAGTAACAGGTGCTTGTGACTTAAGACAGTATCGAGGCAATGCGCTCAGTATGCACACGTGCCAATAAGCGACAGATCAATTATAGTCCTAAACATTTAGTGAATTTAAACTCCACCTCATTACACAATGAAGTGGCTATCAGGATTCAGTAACCAAATAGATAACAAAATGGTATTTGAAGCGAACGGTACTGGCTTCTAGTCCCAGAATGAACATGGACTCTGGAATGCAAGTGCATGCAACTGACGAGTCCCATATTGAACGAAACGCACGTTCAGAATTCCTCTGCTAGCCACCATCCATCTTTGCTTTGTAAGAACGCTTTAAATCACTAAATTTATATCCGCTAGAGCATAGGCAACTCATAGATGTTCTTTTAACTAACTATATTATGTAAAACGTTCCAGAGGATCCTTTAAAACTCATGTTTAAGCACGTTCGGGCTAAAACCCGGAAATTCGAGGTACAACACGGAAAACTGAGTTATGGGCATGCATTCCATTGTTTACGAGCAGTCAGTTCCTGGCTGACGTGGTTTAAGCAATTTCTCAGGAGTTTTTCAAGAGGAAGCTTGATATATTCCTATGGACTCAGGAGAGTATTGCATTGTAATTTTATAGTATTTTCCTTTTGCTCGTTCAATATACATAGGTTTCTACCTGGAGGCAACTATAATCCACTGCTATTCTATACAGAAGTCCATTAAGCAAAAACTTCTATTCTGCCTAAAACGATTTGACTAATACCAAGTAGCTATCCAGATCATCTAGGTCCAACCCACTTATTTAGCTACTAGAATCCCCAGGGAACCTCAACTGTGCTCACGTTTATCTAGTTTTGATCTATTTATTGTTATATTTACGTCATATTTTCGCATCACGAACTTGAGCGTGTATCCGTCTAAGTAGGAAAAGACAGGGTTTCAACAATGATATCAGATGCTACTTATATCTCATCAAGTAATCAATCACTGGAAAGTCCAAACAGAAGGTGTGCTATCAGACCCATTAGTGAATATTTCTGAAGAGAAGCTGGATTTCCATTGGAAAACAAGGTGAAGCGATTGATTCAACTCAACCGTCCTTCTATCCTTATTATCAAAGAATGACATATTAAAAAAATATCTAGTTCGATTAAATTCTCTTTTTTGTCCCAATGTATTATTTACTCAAGCTAATTTTGTAGCCCGTCCTCTTTTTGTGATAAAATACTGTTCATATTAACAGTAAGGAAAGTTCGATTAGACTTCTATCTGCTTATAAAACTTCATGCTTCATAACACTTTCAAGAACGTTTTCTTTTTCCATTCACCTCAGACAGCACACTTCTTATCCATTGTGTGGTAATTCTTCAATATATTTCAGTGATATTCTACCTGGGTGAGATGGAAAAAGCAGTTGCACTATTCACGGTAAGTACTATTGTCATTAGATACATTTTATCTATCATTCACATATTTCTATCAATATGGTGATTGTTTATGACAGTTTGTTTGTTCTGTAGTTATCTCCAGCACTTAATAACTATGTAGTCGTAATTTGTGTTTCCTCAATGAGTAATAACTGTTTTAATCTTTGTTCTCTGAGAACTTCATTAACTACATTCATCATTATCTACTATGAATATACTGTGCAGAATATTTTCGGAAACCCTAAACCAACTGGCCGTAAATATGTAGAATATTCATGAAATATACCTGGAGACTTTATTTTTACCACATCCAATCTTAAAATGTCATTTGATATATAGTAGATAAATTCTAAATGCTTATGCTTTATGGTACTATCAACGTCGGTCAGTAGTTCATATGGGTTAGTAATTATCAACTATTGCAATGGTCCACCTGTAATTAACTGTACAATTGATTGATCACTGAGTAGTGATCAATTTCATATTTGTTTAATCCTTTAGTGTCGACTATACTCTACTGATCAGGTTGTAATATTGACACTAGTCTAAATGACTCGACTTCTTCGACATTATGAGATGTTAAGCAATTGTAGGTAGTCACTTACTCTGATGATGACCACATCACAAATCTTATTGATAGGACTCGATCAACATTTAAAAATTAATGATGAATGCATACTTGCTTACGTCTGTTACTCCTCGTGGAGGAGCATAAGCCGCTCATCAGCATTCTCCATCCAACCCTGTCCTGGGCAATCCTTCCCAGCTCTTTCCAATTGTTATTCATCGTTTTCATATCTGCTTCTATTTCCCAACGTAATGTGTTCTTTGGCTTTCGTCTTCACGATTCCAAGTTAGGGCTTGCCTCGTAATGCAGTTTGGTGATTTCCGTAATGTATGTTCTATCCACCAACTCCATTGTCTTTTCCTAATTTCTTCTTCAGCTGGAAACTGGTTTGTTCTTTCCCACAGTAGGCTGTAATGAATGCATAGTGTACATTTATTCATATATATCCATCAACCGTCTAATCATATTATCTATTTCTTAATACTTTTGTTTAATTTAGAATCCTGAATTCAGTATTAAAGAATTGACCAATTCCCTATATTTGGATACATTAATGATAAAACAATGTTTTCAAGCACCATTTATTCTATTAAATAATAAATATAACAATGAATTAGATCATACTTCAAGAATTTGTCCTACAAACTTATTTACTCTTAAAGATAATCAACATATAAATGTTTCATCTTTGCTTACAAGTAACTCTTCTGACAGTAGAACTTCTTGGACATATTCACCATTTAATACTGATAATAATAATGATATTGATTGGTTACCAAATTTTTTTATTCATCAACCTCCTTTATTAATCAATATACCAATGTATTCAATGAATTCAACAAATATCACTATACGTTGGTTAATCTATCTTAGATTATCTATTGAAATTGATGAGAAAAATAGAAGTAAACATTTAGAAGATCCATTCATTGTATCACTTTATCCAAATATTATCATGAATTCATTGAATCATACATCTAGTTGTTGGTTATCACCTAAAATAATAATCAATGTACAAAATAGTCTTGATCAACGAATAGATTTGAATTTATTTACTTATACATCAGATGATCTATTATTCAATCATGATGATCCAAATGATGATGATGATGGCGATGTTATTATTCATTTAAATGTACATGTTGTGAATAGTTCCAATTCATGTCTATTACATTTATATAATCCATTAATTTTCTCATATCATAATTTTATTCATAATTATTATAATCTAGAAAATTATTTCTCATTAATGTTATTAAAATCAATTCATTATTTCCCTTTATGTTGTATCTATCCATTTTATAAACAATACACGATTCATAATCATAATAATAGGGATAATCAATTTGATCCTCATTTCATAGTTGCTAAGCAACAATTAATGATCAATAATTTAGAAGTTAAACTTAATAAATTTTGTACATGGAATGTATATAAATTCAATAAACATTTATTATATTTAATTACTAATGGTATTTTTAATGGTATATGTTTATATGTTAATATGAATTGGTCTATATCTAATCCAATAATTATTGAAATTCGTTCAAGGCAAGTGTAAAAGATTTTGTTGCTTAGATCTTCCATTATATATATATATATATATATATATATATATATATATATATATATATATATACCTAATTCATAAATGGACACATTCACTATGTATGTATTTCAGCCTTTATATATATATATGCCTCCAAATGTCCTGGTATGGCCGAGAGTGGGATGGGCCCACCCTTCCTCTCCAAATGCTCTCACATGGCCACGCGTATATATCCTCTGCCAGGGAAGTCCTACTCACTGCCTTCTCGTGGCGGGGGTGTTATTTACAAAAATGAGAGGACGAAAAGCGAATGTCCGGCGCTTTAACCGGACCCCAAACTGATGGTGCACATGGGCTCCAGTATCCTGCGGGAACAAATGGCGTATGAACCAATCGTTGGTCACCGGCTACCATGGGACTGCATCTCCTCACGATGCTCCACTGCCTTGTGGGTTAGACCTTTAGGTCAAAGGCTCGTGGAGTGGCCCCCTAAGAAAACCACCTGCTTCTGTCTGGGCACCCGGGCAGTATCCCAGCCCTCACACAAATCGAATGATTTATGTGGCGCATATGTATTTGGTGCCCTCTTGTACCAATGTTTATGTGTTTAAATATATATATATATATACATATATATATATGCTCCACATAAATCATTCGATTTGTGTAAGAGCTGGGATACTGCACGGGTGCCCATATTGAAACAGGTAGTTTTATTAAGGGGACACATCCAAATCCTTCGACCTAGTGGTCTGGTCCACAACGCAGTGGAGCAACGTTAGATGTAGTCCCATGGTAGCAGGTGATGAACTATAGGTTCATTCACCATTTGTTCCTTTAGGATCCTGGAGCATCATTAGTTTGGAATCATGGTTTTCCAACTTCCGTAAATGGATCATCCATATCCACCAACCCGGTTAAAGCGCCTGACATTCGCTTTTCGTCTTGTCAATTTCTGGACAATAGTAATGCCACCAAACGTTAGTGAGTAGGGCTTCCCTGTTAGTGCTTGTATGCACGTGCCCATGTGAGAGCATTTCGAGAGGGGGAGCTGACTCTTCCCATTAAAACAACAATAAAAAGGGGTTAGACCGTCAATATTTCAAGCGTTTACTAGCATTCCAATTGGTTAGTAGTGATGTAGTAAAATTCAAACCTATGTAGACGTTATGCACTAGAGCCATATAGAAAATAAACTTATCTACCAACTGAATGGTTAGTTTTTGAGACGATACTGCAGTTAACCATTATTGTTTGTCATTAATATGTGATTCATTTCAAAAAGGAAACATTTACATTTACACTACCCATATTCAGTAATGGGAAGTGAGAAATAAAATCCAAAAAAAATCCAATGACGGAACCCAGCTATAATTCATGCAATAAAGCTGTGTTATATATCCAAACCACCTTTCCACTCCTTTCCATCTAACCCTACCATCAACAAAGTGTTTTTATCATAAAGTTTGCTTGAACCTTGAGCTATGAAAAAACGGGGTTATGACGTAATGTCAGTGGTACTATACTCAAATACAAGTTCAGTTATAATTTTGTGATTCTCAATGACGATAAGAGTTTACCAGACAATGTTTGTTAAACTGAATAACATCATATCTCAATAAGCAGGAATTATTGAAGCATAGATTTTTTTTTCTACCTCTTAATCGCTGTGTACCGGTTACTACTTTATACTGGTATACAGTTCACCATCCAGCCAATTAGCTGAATGGTAGTTGGGTTTGTTTTGTTTTTTTACCTCGGAGACATAAGCTTTAATCTCGAAGTAGCCGGTCAAATTATTCATGGAGCTTAAATAAATCTATTCTTGGCATATGAAAGAGATTACTTGAAGGCGGCATCAAAGAACATGTAATAGACATTCATTACAATCATGTAATATTTATTTATCTACCTATTATTGCTTGAATGATTCACTTTTTTGTGTTTGTTTTTATTTTTAGTTCACGTAAATTATTGAATCTATTAGATCAAGTATTGTTTACTCGAAATAATGTCGATGAATTTCATTTTGTTCCTTATACTCAATCATTATTAGATAGTGATATATCAAATAAAACAACTAATGTACAAAAATCAATCATTGATTCATTCAATTATTTAATTGATGAAACAGAATATCTTATCAATCAAATAACTCAACTTATTGAATGTACAATGTATAAACGAATTCCTGAATTATCTGTATTTTTAAAAGATTTAACAAATAATCTTGATATTGCACATCGTACTGCTGAATGGAGATCAATAGTGAATAAAGCAAGTACCATGCCAATTGATAATATACCATCAAGTTTGGAATATTGTCAATTACGTTTACAAACAGATATTCACTTAAAAAATCTTTGTTTTATAAACAATTTTTGAGGAATATTTATGAATTAAATATGTATGTTTACCCTTTTCTGTGCTGATTCCATGAGGACGCTTCATTTTGTAAATACTGTTTTGTAAAAATTATGAATTCACAGTGATAACTTCTTATGTATAAATGTATGAAATCATTCATTTTTGTTAGAAATATAAACAGATTATTTTCTATAGAGTTCAATATGGACCGTTGTTGCTACCTCAACAAATACGGAGTTAACACGAAAATTACTCACAAAAAGGTCGTGTGTGATCGACCTCAAGCAGTTGTCACGATGCATAATATGTGCCTAGTCCTACGTTGTAGCTGACTGAACATGGAAATGTTTATTTCTTAATTATTAAAATAAGGAAAATATTTCGACACAAACTGATAGTTCAAGTGGTGATGATAACAATTCTCGGGTATTGATCTCCTTCCAGGAGGTCCACTTATCGACTTGGAATACGCAGATGATATAGTCCTGTTTGATGAAGACGCTGATAAAATGCAGAGTCTTCTAGTAGCACTGAGCAACAATGCCCGAGTGTTTGGAATGCGCTTCTCTCCCTCTAAATGCAAGTTGTTGCTTCAGGACTGGCCTGCGTCAACACCTGAACTAAGGATAGGGAGTGAAGTAGTCGAACGCGTTGACAACTTCACTTATCTTGGAAGTCTGATCAGCCCTAATGGGTTGATGTCTGACGAAATCTCAGCACGGATTCGAAAAGCTCGTTTGGATTTTGCCGACTTACGTAACCTATGGCGAAGGCGAGATATCCGTCTATCAATAAAAGGACGAGTATACTGCGCGGCAGTCCGTTCTGTTTTAAATTACGGCAGCGAAACATGGCCATTAAGAATAGAATATACTAGTATTTGACCACAGATACCTTAGAAATATTGCTGGCGTCTGCTGGGATCACCGGGTAAGTAATAGTGAGGTTAGACGCAGGGTATTAGGGAATGATGGTAAATCAGTTGATGAGGTTGTGAATCATCATCGACTGCAATGGTTGGGCCACGTGTTACGTATGTATGAGCACCGATTACCACGACGTGCAATGCTAACAGGTGTTAGAGATGGTTGGAAGAGTATTAGGGACGGCCAAACCAAAACGCGGCATCAGTCATTGAAGTCACTAACTTCTAGTCTGAGCCATGTTGGCAGATGCAGACTACTTGGTTGGTGTCCGCGTGAATATCGTAATGGTTGGAAACTCTGGGTGACATGGCTTAGAATCGATCACAATGGCGTCGGTGTATACACTCCCTGTCTTCCCTTAAACTAAGAGATTAAAATCGCTTCATATCTTTCTACGAACTAATTCTTTCTTCCTGTACTATATCCTTATATGCAATCTTTCCTTTATATATTACCACCACTGACTTAACTACTTCTATGAATCCGGTATTCATCTTGCTGTGCTAATGAGGTATGGCAACTTGGACCGACGCATATATGTGCCTAGTCCTATGATGTAGTTAACTGACTGAATAACAATTGGTTCACTTTGAAATTCAATATTGACTAGACCTTTTAAATTGACCAAAAACTACGGTGAAACTATTACTTATGGACAACCGTTGAACGACATTCAAGTGACCTTGAGAGAGTCCGCCTAATAACCAGGATCAAATGATGGTTATAAACCTGTGTGAGGAATTACCATTATGATTCACAGTTGGTGATTACGGTTAGGAATTCCATTTCGGGTTTTGATCATGAATTGACATTAGCTATAATGCCAAAACTCTTCAGCCAAATGGATGAGTGAAGTTCGTGCCAAAATTCGAGACCTGTTGTCTTATACGTGATTGGTTCGTCCATAAATTATAGTCTCGCCAAAACTATTTCTGTTACCGATTTTCACTTTGAAATGATTGAAAAAGAAATCTAATCCATTAGATCACATAAATAAAATATGAGTTGCATATCTATCATCTGACAGTAAATAATGGTGACATTATTTGGTCGTTTGAACTAGTTTTAGATGTTCTAGCTCATCCACTCTGAAACGTAGAATCACCATCGTGTGTCGATGTATTCACACTGATATCATCAGTATTGTGTTATTCAGTGTGTTTAAACTAGTCTTTAACTATAAAGCTAAGATCCGATGATCGACAGCTGAACTTCCTTGAACCAATCACCTTATGACTGACTCCGTAGACCATCAGATTGGTTACACATTAACACCATTGGATGTCGGCTCAGTGATCTGGAGGTTAAGCACTCACACACCAGACTGAAGGCTCTGGGTTCAAATCCTACGAGCGGGATCGTGGATGTGAATTTCCAAGGAGTCCCACAATAGGACGAAATAGCCGTCTAATACTTCCAGTTTTTCTATGGTGGTCTTACGTCAATCGGTTCATGATCTCAATCAAAAATTTAATAATCTCCACAACCTCATACTAATGGTTTGTTTGCTTCTAAACTAAAAATTTTTTCTGAAATAGTGACATTTCTAATCTTGTTTTCATCGTAACGTAGAAATGCAATTTTGTTGTTGGACACTTTAAAGTTGATAGAGGTAGACGAAAAAGCAGTATAATCTCCACGTTAACAACACAAGATGTCAATGCGAATGGAGAACACTCTCACTTCACCTTCATTCTTATAGATCCATGATCTCACTTCTAGTTTATATCTACTTGATATAATTCACTCAAACTTGATACTGTACACTTCATGGTTTCAGTATGCAACGTTATACAATTCATATGTATTAATTCTCAGTATTTACATGTATGCATAGCATACAAAAATTACAATTTTTTAAATATTTCTATGACAAGTACTCTTAGTATTATCAAGCTAAATTCTTAGTAATACAATCATTCAGAATTCAGACTAGTTGTTTAGTAAAAGAAAGTCACAACATAACAATCATATTCCTCAAAGTAATGACTAACTTTGAAATTATTCCCTATTGTATCTTTTTTTTGGACACCACAAATCTCATTTACGAATGAGATTTATTCTCAATCTATGGGTTAGAAAGTAAGATAAACGGTATCGTGTTAGTCTTTTTTCAGTTTTGAAAGAAATCTAATAAGAGAAGATTTATGCTACCTACAGTTCATTATGATGCTTTTAAAAGGTCAGCTGACATATTACAGATCAACTTGAGCCAACACAAATTTATCTTAAGCCGTACATTGACAACGAACTGATTAGGTGGCAATATAAGAAAAGGTTTTTGACTAGAAGGAACAATTTCAACTTCCTCATACTAAGCTCCCAAATGAGGAGAGTTCGCTCCCCCTATTGAAATGCTCTCACATGGCCACGCGTATATAGCTTCTGCCAGGGAAGTCCTACTCATTGCCTTCTCGTGGCGGGGGTGTTGTCTACGAAAATGAGAGGACGAAAAGCGAATGTCCGGCGCTTTAATCGCGTTTGTGGACACGGATAGTCCGCCTCGGGGAGTCGGAAAACCCTGATTGCAAACCAATGGTGCACATGGGCTCCAGTATCCTGAAGGAACAAATGGCATATGAACCAATCGCTGGTCACTGGTTACCATGTGACTGCATTCCCTAACGTTGCCTTGTGGATCAGACGTTTAGGTTAAAGGCTTGGGGTGTGGCTTCCTAAGAAAACCATTTGCTTCGGTTTTGGCACCTGGGCAGTATCATAGCCCTCACACAAACTGAATGATTTATGTGGCGCATATCTATTTGTATCAATGTTTATGTGTTTAAATAAATAAATAATCCTCATGGTAAGGAACCGAAGTATCCATGGTGCTTGAAGCTAATGAAATAAGAATAAGTTTGTAGTTTTTTGTTTCAGCAACGCTTAGTATCTATTTTAACAAGAAACAACGACTGCTTGAATCTCTCTCATTTAAAATGTTATTCATATTAACATTAAAATCTAATCAACTCATATTCCATATAATGGAAAGGATTAAGAAGAAAAAGAACAAAATCCAATTGAAAACTTCATGTAAACAATGTAGACTTTTTTAATCAATGAATGGGAGCTTAGGCCGAAATGATGAAAAGACAACGATGTGTGTCCCTATCCTTCTGAGTTTTTACAAGGATCCATTCTAAAAGTGCTTCTTCTACCCTCGTACTTAGTCCTATGCCTATATCCATCAGTCCACGAGAATTCGCCGTCGGGTAGTCAAGTAAACGGATAATGTATCGAGTCAGCTCCCCGTTTCGGCTAGGGTGATGTCAAGGAAATGACCACACTATGCATATTAACATTAAAATTTCATCAACTCATATTCCATATAATGGAACAGATTAAGAAAGAAAAAGAACAAAACAAGATTCATTCTTGATGGAGTTTTTTTCTCTGAGCTGGATGATTTGGTCGTGGAGCTTTCATCGTTCTTCTGAACGACATCATCAGCACAAACTTCAGATAGAGGTGAAGTGTTCGAATTTCTCCAAATGCGTTTCACAGCTTGTTCTGTACATCTCGGCGTTGATTGGTTCTTATTGACTTTAAATTTGTCACTGTTTACTCCTTTGTTTTGGTTGTGTCTCCCATTGGTTTGATTTTTGTTCAATAAGAACCAATCAACATCGAGGTGTACAGAACAAGCTGTAAAACACATATGGAGAAATTCGAACACTTCACCTCTATCTGAAGTTTGTGCTGATGATGTCGTTTAGAAGAACGATGAAATCTCCACGACGAAACCATCCAGCTCAGAGAACAAAACTCCATGAAAATTATCCAGCTGGGCTACAAATCTTCTCCACCATCACAAAATTCAATCGAAAAGAGAAATCGTAAAGAGAAATGTAAACTAATTTATTTTGATGGATGTTGTTGTTTGTTGTACAAAGAATATTCATGATTTTTTTGTCGCCTCAATAACACAAAGAAAAGAATATTATATTCATATGAAGTCAATAAATCAATAATCTATACAAAAAAGAGAGAGAAATATTTGTGCCGGTTTAGTCATTGTAGTTGATAGTGGTTGCTGTAGTGAACAGTTTCATATAAATAAATGATAAACAAAATATATAGAAAGTTCACTTGCATATTTATGTAAAAAGTAATATATATATATCAAGTAATTATTTATAAATTACCATAGAGAGAGAAGGGGGGGAAGAGAATGAGTTTCCTTTGTTCTTATTTTCGTTATTGTTTATATTTTTGTAGAGGGGGGAGGGGCAAAAGGTTTGATATGTGAGCAAAGAAAAATATAAATTATTGTTTCCGTGACAAATGAATCAGAAGTTACATATCAAATAGTATATTTAGTAGTCGTAGTAGTAATAACAGTATTGGAGCTATTATTGTTGTTGTTGTCGTCGACGCTATTTGTGCATTTAGAAAAAAAGGAGGATGATATGCCTCATTACATTTGTGAATTTAGTTATTATGAATATAAATGTTGATTGTTCTCATGTACAATAGCTTGAATTTGTCTAGCGAATTCTTCGTCATTAGTAACAGGGTCAATTGGATTGTCTATTGAATTCAACTCTTTGTCCATATCACCAGCAGGATCTACACGAGGAGTATGTGTGAAATTTGAGTTAGATAAACCCGGTGTAGAAGGACTACGTGATATTCGACAGAATTCATCTAATTCCGTGTTAGTTGGTGATGTAATGGTTGTAGTAGTATTGTGTAATTGATAACCCCGATTGGTTACTATTCTACTTCGTGGTATTGTCGACTGAAGATAATCACTCGTTGGTGGTGCCCCGTGATAGTCGTGTAAGTTTGTGACAACTGCAGACGCTCCCATACGAGGTTGATTGGTATGTGATCTGTATTTTCAAGAATGAATGTTATAAAAGAGCAAAACAATAAGTATATGTGTAATCAGATTGTTCGAAATGTATTGCGCTAATATATCGCATAGTTCTGGTAATATTCATCTTATCAAAGGGGCTAATTACTTTAAATAGCTATCATACTTGAGAATTATCAATAAATTATTTCAACCGGTTAGAAAAAGTTGATTTTCACAACATGAATTGACATGAACAGGTAGGTCATGTAACGACTTGAATATTAGACGAAATTAGATAAATATCAACTAGTGAATCTAATTTTTAAAAGTACACTTAGAACTATCAAAGCAAACTATCCGATTATTTACTGCTGAGATTCCTAACATCATTTCTCAGTCAGTCAGTCAGTCAGTACCAACGTAGAACTTCGTACGTACGTACATCAGTTCGAGTTGCCACACCACATTAGCACAGAGATGCAGTGGTCGATTCAAATCCGCAGTGCTCGATGTAGCAAGATTATAAGCTGCAATCAGAAAAATTAGGGTTTGAAGATGTTATTCAAGGACTATAATCTAGTGAAATAAATTTGGAAAGAGAAAAAGAAAGGGACATGAAGAGTTCAGAAAATTAGAATTTGAGAGAACACAAAGAGTGGATGCACCTGCGCCATTGCAAACGATTTTGAGCCATGTCATTCAATGTCTCTAACCATCGGTTGCTATCATCTCGTGGTCCCCAACCAGGTAGTCTACACCTACCAACATGACTCAGTCCACTTATCAGTGACTTCATGAACTTGTGCCATGTTTTGGTCTGGCCGCCCCTAGCTTTCTTCCAACCTACTCCTATACCACTGAACATAGCACGTCGAGGCAGTCGGTCGTTGGGCATACGTAACATGTGTCCCAGCCATCTCAACTGATGATGATTCACTACTTCATCAATTGATTTGCCATCCTTACCTAGTACTCGTTTCCTAACAGCTGTGTTACTTACTCGATGGTCCCATGATATACGAGCAATATTTCGAAGACACCTATGATCGAATATTAGTAGCCTATGAATATCCTGTACTCTTAACGGCCACGTTTCACTGCCATAAAGTAGGACGGGACGAACTGCTGCGCAGTAAACACGTCCTTTGGTTGATAGACGGATATCTCGCCTGCGCCATAAATGACGCAAGTTGGCAAAAGCTAGTCGAGCCTTCTGTATCCGTGCTGAGATTTCGTCACACACTAAACCACAAGGGCTGATGAGACTTCCAAGATAAGTGAAGTGGTCGACACGCTCAATTACGTCACTGCCTATCACTAGTTCGGGTGTCGATGTAACCCAATCCTGAAGCAACATTTTGCATTTCGAGGGAGAGAATCGCATCCCGAGCATGCTTGCATTGTTGCTTAGAGTGGTCAGAAGACTCTGCATTTTGTCAGCGTCTTCGCCAATTAAAACTATGTCATCAGCATATTCTATGTCAACAAGTGAACCTCCCGGTACACGTTCAACCCCTAGAAATCTAGACGAGGAAAGTGTTATCTCTAAAAGTAAGTCGACGACAAATTTGAACAAGAATGGAGAGAGTGGACAGCCCTGACGAACACCACTTGAGGTAATCAATTCTGATGACAGTTCGCCATAAGCTCTCACTCGACCAGTTCAGTTGTGTTCGAGTAGAGCCTTTATAAGGTTAATGTACTTCTTTGGTACTCCTTTCAGTGACAAACACTGCCATAGAACCTCACGATCAACAGAGTCGAATGCCGCCTTAAGATCGAGAAATACTACCATTGTGGGGCGTCTGAATGTGTGTCTGTGTTCTAGAACCTGACGTAGTGTGAATATCTGATCTATACAACCACGTCCAGGTCGAAAACCGGCCTGGTTTTCTCTAATCTGCTCTTCACGAGCTTTGATTAGGCGTCGAAGTATTATTGAAGCTAATATTTTAGACACTATATTAGTCAAACTGATTCCTCTGTGATTGTCACAAGAGGACTTTTGTCCTTTCTTAAAAACTGGCACAATCAGTGATTGAGACCAGTCAGATGGGATTACGTCCAGTTCCCAAATTCTACCTAAGACCTCGGTTAGTCTCACTGCTAATACTGGACCACCATCCTTAAAAATCTCAGGAGTAAACCTGTCAGGGCCTGCTGCTCTCCCTCGTTTCAGATTTCCTATGGCTTTTTCAACTTCGTAAAGGGACGGAGGACCTACATTAAGCGTTCGCGCGCGAGACCGAAGGCCCTGGGTTCGAATCCCGCTCGCAGGATCGTGGATGCGCACTGCTGAGGAGCTCCACAATAAGACGAAACGGCTGTCCAGTGCTTCCAGGTTTTCAATTGTGATGGTTTAACATCAATCGGTTCATGATCTCAATCAAAAAACTTAATAATCTCCACAACCCCTATACTAGTGATCCCTAAAGTGTTCTGCCCATCGATACAATCTCCTAGATTGAGAATGAATAATATGTCCATCTTTCTCTGAGATTGTTTCGCTAACGGTCGGGTTCCTAATACCGGTTTCCCTAACAAGTCTGAACAATTGTCTGCTATTACCTATTGCCGCTGCCTTTTCCATCTCTCTTGCTTTCGCTACCCACCACTGTTCGCGATCATTGCGTAGGCTTCTTTTCAGCTTGTGCTTAAGCTGACTCCGCTCTTCATTATGTTCAGAGCCAGGTGGAATGAGTTTCCGAGCATCTACCAGTGAGATAGATGCTGCTGAGATCCAGTGTTGCTCCCTAACCTTCTGGTTTAACTTACTAGCAGATATCACTGCTGTTTCCACAGCTTTTCGGATATCATCCCATGCTGCATCGGAGTGGGCATCACATACATGGCTGCCTAACTGTTTTCCTAGTTGTTCCTGAAATATACTCTTAGCTTGACTATCATTAAGTATGCCCCTAAGAGGTTTCCTTGCAGGATCTTTCCTACGTCCAGTAAGACGCAGACAGATACGCGCTCGTACTAGAGCATGATCTGAATCTAGGCATGTGCTCCAGAATGAGCGACAGTCTTCTATCGAGCCCCTCCATCGGTGGCTGATAGCGATGTGATCTATTTGGGTCCAACGTTGGGACGAATTAGGGGGTCGCCATGTTAAAAGATGTTTTTCCTTATGCTTAAAGTTAGTGTTTGCAAGGAACAGGCGGTTATCTGAGCATAGCTGCAACAGACGGTCGCCATTATCTGTTCTTTGAGGCACGACACCATAAGATCCACCTAGGTGTCTTTCCTTATCGCTTAGTTTACCTAGTTGAGCATTAAAGTCACCAGCCACTATGACTACATCAGAGCGCCTAGCTTTTCGGAGAAGTTCGGAAAGCTTTCTGTAAAACTCATTTTTTACATCATCTGAGCTGCAGTCAGTGGGAGAATAGGCAGAGACGACGAAGAGGCAACGACGAGTGTCCCTATCTTTCCGAGTCCTTACTGTTCCGTTTAGTTGGACAGCGCACAAACGACTGTCTACTGGGATCCACTCTAAGAGAGCTAGTTCTGCCCTAGGACTCAATGCTATACCTACGCCGGCAAGGCCACGGGAAGCAGAATCAGGGCTTCCAGATACACGAAGCGTAAATCGAGTCGGTTCTTTATTTTGGCATGGTGAGGTCAAATGAATGACGCTACTCGGATCCTGTATGCGCGTTTCGGAGACGCAGCACACATCGATGGCGCGAGATTCTAAAGTCCTAGCTAAGGAAGCCTGCTGTCCTATTTGGCAGTGTTCATACGTGTAGTTTAGAGCGTGGTTTCAGGAGACCAGGAATAGCGTTCCATGTACTCGAATCCGTGAGGTGTGACATTTTTAGGGTCGACCTTTTCTAACCCCACCCCTCATTGTGGGAAGGCAGCATCGCTGCAGATGCTGGTTGTCCAAGGGAAACACATTACTGCTGTCACACCCCTCTACAGTCAGCAGTACGACTTCGCCCTCAGACCTTGAGTTGCTGCTTTTAGTCTTACCGTTCTTAGGTCAACCTGTCTGGCATGGTAGAACCTACAGGAACATATGTTCCAGCCAATATAGCTCGGTTGGGTCATCACGATAGGCAAGCCTGACCACCGCGTCAAGGTAGCAGCTTCGGTCAGGACATCATTTCTAACAGTTCATAATAAGAACTTTTTTTCTGGTTAGCGTCAACAAGCAGAAATACGTAGAAGATCTAGCAATGACAGCGGTAAAAGCTGCAAGAGAAGGAAATCAGTCAGTCAGCTACAACGTAGGACCAAGCACATATATGCATCAGTAAAAGTTGCCACACCTTATTAGCATAACAAGACCACGAAATTCATCGAAGTAGTTAAATCAATGGTGAAAAAAACTATATAATGATATGATACAGGTAGAAAGGAAGCTATAAAGTAATTTTAGCCTCACGGTTTAAGGGAAGACGAAAAGTGTATACACCTACGCCATTGTGATCGATTCTGAGCCATGTCACCCACAGTCTCCAACCATTGTTTATGATAGCCGCGCGGACCCCAACCAAGTAGTCTGCATCTATCAACATGGCTCAGATCAGAAGTTAATGACTTTATGGACCAATGCAAAGTTTCTGTTTGACCAACCGTCTCCAAAACTAGTCAGCATTGCGTGTCGTGGTAATCGGGATTCAGGAATACGTAACACGTGGCCCAACCATCTCAGTTGATGGAGATTCGCGACCTCATCATCCCCATCTAGCCTTACTACTGCTTACCTGGTGATCCCAGTAGATGCGAGCAATATTTCCAAGACATCTGTGATCAAGTACTAGTAGCTTACAAATATGTTCTACTCTTAATGGCCACATTTTGCAGCCGTAAACTGGAAGAGAACGAACTGCCACACAGTATACTTGTCCCTTAATTGATAGAACGATATCTCACCTTCGCCATAGGTGACGTTGAGTTCAACTCTAATGTTAGACGATATCTCTCCTTATGTTTAAAATTAGTGCTTGTTAAAGATAAACGATTGTCTGAGCACAGTTGCAGCAGACGGTCACCATTATCTGTTCGCTGAGCCGGAATACTAAAATATTCACCTAAATGTCTTTCTGTTTGATTTAAGCCACCTACTTGGGCATTAAAGTTACTTGCTACTAGTACTACTTCCGAGTGTTTAGCTTTTTGATGAAGTTCACAAAGCTTTCTGTGGCATCTTTCACTTCATCCAGGCAACAATCAGTGGGAGCGTATCCCAAAATGACGAAAATGCAACGACATGTGTCCCTGAAATTTAGAGAACTACTACAACCATCGTCAAATAAGTACAAGTATTTGTAAACAATTTTATATTCAAGGTACTCAATGTCCGTTGTCAACCGGATACCATCAACAACAACCTACTGTGGGAGAGAACCAACCAGCTTCAACTTGAAGAGGAAATTAGGAAAAGACGTTGGAAGTGGATAGGACATACTCTTCGGGAATCATCAAACTGCAATACTAGACAAGGCCTAACTTATAATTCTGAGGGGAGAATGAAAAGTGGGAGGCTAGAGAACTCATTGAGCCGAGAATTGGAAGCAGACATGAAAAGGATGAATAGCAACTGGAATGGATTGCCTAGGACAGAGTTGGTTGAAGAATCCTGATAGATGGCCTTTGCTTCTTCTTGGTGGACTATAGGCGTATGTCAGTAAGGTAAATAGCATTAAGAACATTCTTACTCACTATTTTATGATTACGTGACTTGTATTATTGCAGTAACAATCAAGTTCACATAGAGCGAGAAAGATCAAATTAAAACACATACCTCGACTCTAATTAACAAGTACCACCTCATAACCATCAAAAGTATTTAAGTGACAAATGGAGTTTCTTCAGTTTTGAATTTATAAAGTTCAAGTAATGAACTAAAGTAACACGTTCTTTATTATTCTAACGTTATTTATTCAAGAAGATAAAGTCAATAAAGAGAAAAAACGCAACAGTTCTGATTTGTTGTTTATGTTATGAGGTATAATTTCACTTGTATTTGGAACTGCAATCAAAGACACTTGTGGCTTATCTGAGTAGCTATTAATTTATATATATTCAGTAGGTTGTACGAAACAGAAACGAACAACACTTACCTTAATGACTTTATATATGAGCTAGGAGATGATGCATGTAAGCCAAAATTTCGACTAATCCCATTACTATTATATGATTGAATATTTGTATCAGTAATGTATTGTTTATTTGGTTCAGTATTATTCATCAATTCACTATCATCATAATCATAGATACTTTCGGAGTAATTTTGTGATCTCAATCCGCTTGAATTTAGTAAAGGTATTACTGATATTGATCTAGGTCCACCTTCATTAAAGTCATTCTCATCAGGATTACAGTGTAAATTACTTTCTGTACTTGTTAAATGTAAATTAGATGAAAATTGAGGAATTGGTGAATTATTACAGACCGCTTTACTTGCATTAATTAATTGAGATTGCTTGATCAGTTCATTTTGCCATGATTTCAATATTTGAATACGTTCGGCTTCATTAGCTAGTAGACGTGCTTGAGCTTCAGCTAAACGTGCTTGTGATGCATCCAACTCACTTCGAAGATCTATTATAGTTGTAGGTGTATTATTCTTCATGATCATCAAAAGAAACATGCAAAAATTTCAAGTGATGTGTTAATTTATTTCCTTTTAAAAAATAATTAGAGTATACAAAGTAAATAACAACAAATTACTGTGGGAGAGAACAAATCAAATTCCAATTGAAGAGGAAATTAGGAAAAGACGCAGGAGGTGCATAAGACATACATCGCAGAAACCATCAAATTATATCACTAGGCAAGCTATAATCTAGAATCCTGATGGAAAAAGGGAGAGGAAGACTCAAAAACACGTTGCACTGGGAATCGGAGGCAGACATCATGAATGAAAAGGCCTTGGTAACAACTGGACAGGAGATCCCAGAAAATAATTGGAACATCCTCTCCCCTCCCGGGAGGTTTCAAGCGTATGTAATACAAGTTAAACATATAACATAATAGATGATATGCATTGACCACGGGGAATGAAATAATTGTGTTTACCAGCTGCACCTACATTTCACTTTAGTTAACTTATGGGTCAGGTAGGACATTTTTATGTGTATCAAAGGACAAGTATACTACGCAAAATTTCGTTTTGTATTATTTCCTGACTGTAAAACATGGTTGATAGAAGTGAGAAACATATCCAGTTTGTAAGTAATTGATCATAGGCATCTTCCAAAAATTGTTTAGCATAACGGAATCATTTAGTATGTAATGCTAACGGTTAAAGATATGGTTATAGGTAATAATGACAAATCGATTGATAAGACTTTAAATCCTTATTGACCAACGTAAAATGTTTGCAATCATCTGAAAAGACTCCAAAATCCTAGAGTCGACCACATCAAGAAGCAGTATCAATCTGGATTCATTTACTGCTGAACCAATACATTTGTAGAGAAGCACACCTTATTTGAGTCCATGAGATAAATAGAATCCCTGGTTGGAGACCAGTTTCTGAATGCGTACTGTTAATTCTTTGTTGCATTATCAAATCTCAGATTTCAATGCTATTTTATAGCCCTGAGATGCCGTGGTACGGAAGAAAATGGGAAGGGTCAGCCCTTCCACTCGAAATGATTTTACATCGCAAAGCGTATACAACCATTAACAGGGAACTCCTACTCACTACCTTCTCGCGGCATTACTGTTGTTTACGAAATTGAAAGGACGAAAAGTCAACGTCCGACTCTTCAGTCGAGTTGGTAGATATGGAGGATCCACCTAAAGGGGTTAGAAAACCCTGCTTCCAAACCAATGATGCACATGGGCTCTAGGATCCTAATGAAATAAAAGACGTATGAACCAATCGTTAGTCACCGGTTACCATGAAACTGCGTCTCCTTACGTTGCTCCACTGACTTGTGGATTAGACCTTTAGGTCAAAGGCTCCGTATGTGGCCTCCCTTAAGAAAATCACCTGAATCGGTTTTGGCACCCGGACAGTATCACAGCCCTCATACAAACCGAATGATTTATGTGGTGCATATCTATTTGGGGCCTCGTTGTACCAATGTTTATGTGTTTAAATAAATAAACGTTTTATCTCTCTATTTCGTTCATTTCTTTTTCAACTGCTACATATATATGTGTAGTTTTTATTTGTTGATGATATCATCATTATTTCGGTTTTTTGAGTTTCATTTAACCAATTCCCTCAAGCTGTGTTCAGATGATGTGTTGTATTTTGGATCAGTTCCTGTATGTACAAAACTTCGTATACTTGACGAAATGTATTGCGCTAATATATCACATAGTTCTGATAATCTTCGTCTTTTCATTACATTATCGAAATGTCACTTTATTTGATTTTTGAGTGATGTGATCGTTAGTGTAGCTATGGCTTGTGAAATGAAAATGCTTAGAATGTGGTTTAAAAACAAACCTCTTTGTTTCAAGAAGGTTCTTTAATGTAAAATGTTACTTCTAAGTATAATAAACTATCTAAATTCCAAGAAACACTGAAAATCCATGATTAAAAACACTGAAATACACATTCAAGGTATTTGATATCAATCTGTTGCTCGGTGTTTAGAATTTCTTATGTATCTTAGTTAACCCTTTAACATTCGAATGCTTTTTGTAATTGTGATTGACACTAAATACTAAACTAAATGAGAAAACCCAATTCTTTTGATTTAATTCATGTGACAATCTTTTTCTTGAGTTGAATGGTTAATGGGGTTTATTTCTGTTAGGTGGCTGAAAGTCGTTAGGCAACCATGGACCCAAGTTTCTTGTTATCTGCTACTTGTCTGTAAGGTCTATGTACCTACAGTAGGAATGAAATATTTATAATAGGTTAATCACTGATTCTTAATCAATTTCGCGTATTTCTAGTCCTCTAGTTCATGAAACCAGTGTCCAGTCTCCTGCCAACTACCTTTAACCATCTAAAGTATCAACAAACGCACGTGATGTAAAGTCACTCAGACTAACAGTCACATTGCAATTTGATTCAGTCAGTCAGTCAGCTACAACGTAGGACCAGGCACATATGTGCATCGGTCCAGGTTGCCATACCGCATCAGCACAACAAGATGAACACCGGATTCATAGCAGTGGTTAGGTCAAAGGTGGTAATATATAAGAGAAAGATTGCATATAGAGATATAGTACAAGAAGAAAGAATTGGTTCGTAGAACAAGTTTCGATTACCATCAATGTACTAAAGATGTGATATTAGTGACTAGACAGTAATCAATCAACTGATATCCGTTCTAATTAAAGGTAGATTTTTATCAAAGACTGACATTAACTGTTGTGGTTCAGTGGTTAGGGCTTTTAACTTGCAGCCGTCACGTCCCTGGTTCGAATCTCGCTACGTTTACTTCGATTTGAGCAACTGAGTATCATCAGTAACATTCACGTTTAGGGCATTGGTCTGGTGAGTGAATTAGAAGCACTTCTAAAAATCCTGATCTTGGAGTGAGGAGGACATCATTTAGTCGAAAGCCAAAGGTAAACACTTCAAATTTATACCAATGTGCCATATAGCACCCGGATAGTTCAATATTATTATAAGTAGTATTATTACCTGTTTCATTTGAGATAGAGTTAAGTGGTTTGTGGGGATTGAAATCAAATGCTGCGTAGTTTCTGATTATCTACCTGTTAAACAATATCAGACTTTTGTATCAATATTCCACAAAATAAAAAGTGTTCGTTAATTTTACTCAATAAAAGAATATTTTCACAGATTGAAGTCATGAGTCAGTTGAAGCTAGACCACCATTGGAAACCTGGAAGCACTGGACGGCCGTTTCGTCCTAGTATGGGACTCCTCAGCAGTGCGCATCCACGATCCCGCACCCCACGGAACTCGAACCCAGGACCTACTGGCTTCGCGCACGAGCACTTAACCACTAGACCACTGAGCCGGCATCCAATGGTGTTGATGTCTAATTTCAACCAATCCACGAAGTTGCGCCACCATATACCATTGTCTTCAGTGAGTTGATATCTCACAACAGACCTGGTTGAACTCCACTGGTAACGGCTTCCCACTGAAACTCCAGGAGTATCTCTTGAAGTCAGCCACTAGTGAGCAGATGATTATTATCAGAAGGGGTTTGTGGAGATTTTAGAAATTTTCACAGATTGAAATCCCGTGGGGTGCGGGATCGTGGATGCGCACTGCTGAGGAGTCCCATACTAGGACGAAACGGCCGTCCAGTGCTTCCAGGTTTTCAATGGTGGTCTAGCTTCAACTGACTCATGATTTCAATCTGTGAAAATTTCTAAAATCTCCACAAACCCCTTCTGATAATAAAAGAATAACAAGGAAAGAGAGAGAGAGAGAGTAAAAGCTTACTTCTGATGAAAATAGTGCAGTCCTTTTATTGGGAATTGCACCAATAGTATGAGAAGTATTTAATGGAATAAATTTGATTCGTTGAATTTCTGTTTGTAATGTAGAATTTTGACCTAATTCTTGTTCAGATGGTGAAAATGTAAATGGATCAGTAAAATTTACATTTTCTTGACCATAATAATTGAGAGTATTTTGATCTGTAGTATAATTTATTGATTCAGTTGGTGAATTTACATGTTCATAAGATGTTGGATATGTAAGAGTGATACGTTTATTTCTTTGTTCATTAGATATATACATAGGTGGTGCCCAATTTCGTTTATCTAATTCTATATCATTAACTTTATTATTTATTTTATAATTAGATTGATTATCTTTTAACGCATCAATCAGTTGATCTGTTTCATGTGCATCATTAGATAAATTTACATATGTATGTCGTCTAACAGAATTTTGTGAAGTTTTCTTTGGTTGAAGATTACACATACCTAATGAATGATTGGTATCATCAACAATTGTCATTTGATTTTGAAAATCACTGGAATCGATTGAACTACTTTGTTTTAGTGAATGATAAGTGTATACAGGATTATTCATACTACTAATATCAGTAGTAGTAGTAGTAGTAGTAGTAGTAGTAGACAATGATGTCATGATGATATCATTATCCGATGTGGAGACAATAATCGGGTCAACTATAGTTGATTTTTGTTCTATAGCTGGATAATTTAAAATATTCCCATGACTTGAAATAGTAAGATAACCAGATGATGAAGAATTGCCTAAATAAATTGGACTAAACTCTGAATGTTCAGTTTGTTCTGGATTAATAATATCGCTACATATATCAATTGATGCAATATGATTGGATAGTTGTTGGTGATCTATTACTGACGACTTTTGTAATGTATTATTAACGCAGACATTATTGTCAGTATCTATAGTATTCTGATGAATAATTATAGGTTCTTGTGTTTTTCTAGTACTTTGAACTCTTCTTCGATTATCACGTTGTGTTATTGATGAGAAATCATGATTTGATTCAGTAAATTTTTTAGATGCATTCGAATCAATAGGTAAAGCTACATGAGAATCTGTGGGATTCAATATATCATAGATCTGTTCATTATTCGTATCCATCGAGTTATTATGATTGTTTGAATGTGGAATTTTATTGATCTCTATTGAGTCACATCGTGCTACACGTTCTTGCATACATGAATTTTTATGCTTTCCTTTTGATACAACAAACTTGATATTTGAGTCAGGCTAAAAGCAAACACAATCATAATGATAAAATATTACTTAAATACGTTTAAATTGTTTCGTCACCATGAAGTAAGGTTAGCTTAAATACTTTTCTCATGATAATCTATAAAAGATTGATACGATGTGAAATGTTAGAAGTTCGACTAAGCTATTTAAGCCACGAGTTACACAAACATAAAGCCGAGAAAAGACAGTAGAATTACACTCAATAATGCTATCTACCATGCATAATATTTTTACCTATTTGTCTAGCGAGTTTGTTGATTTGCTTATCAGATAAATGACCAATTTAGTTGTAGAATCGTATTTACCTGATGTAATTCACTTTGAGAACAAATAAAAACTCAGCCTGTAGCTCTTCTAGGGTTACTGCCGGTCCCAAGCCCACATAAAAGAGGAGGGTTTGGAATGGTGTCAACAACCCCATCCTGTATAAAACAAACTAGCTAAATGAACACTAACCAAAATAAACAAATTAAACTGCTTAAACTCTGTCCTCCGAATTGAAGGATCTCCTTTCAGAGGAATTATGACACCTCATGGTGAAAACCCAGATTCTTTGAAAGTCATGAGGCCGATGCCCCTTCTAACAACCAGAGCAACAACTAATATAGGTACATGGAATGTTCGTACGATGTGGGAGACCGGGAGGATCAATCAAATAGCAACGGAAATGAGATACAACTTAGTGGTGCTCACAATCAGTGAAACAAATTGAACCGAAGTTAGACAGAAAACATTAGATTCAGGAGAGATACTGCTGTACTCTGGTTACGAAGAAAATGCTCCACATACTCAGGGAATAGCTCTGATGCTGTCCAAACAAGTACGTAAAACACTTATAGGATGGGAATCTCATGAATCCGGAATCATCAACTATGAGGAAGCATTTGAAGATGTGGATAGGACGACATTATGGAAGCTTCTTCAACACTATGGAGTGAGTAGCTGAGAAGATGGTCAACATCATGCAGAGCTCATACGATGTACGACACTGCAAAGTGGTGCATGGAGCTGACAGACACACTCAAATGAGGACTGGAGTCAGACAAGGCTGCTTACTCTCTATCTATCTCTTCCATCTGGTGGTTGATAGAACTATGAAGATCTCCACATTTGAGAGGAAGCTCACAATACAATGGACAGCCTGCATGCAACTAGACGAATTGCAATTCACAGATCCTGAGCCTTCCTTTCAGTTCTATCCAATTTTTGTTCATTTTCCTTATGTCTGTCTCAATTTCTCTACGTAATGTGTTCTTTGGTCTTCCTATTTTCCTTTGGCTTTGAGGATTCCATGTGAGGGCTTGCCTTGTGATGCAGTTCGGTGTTTTCCTCAATATGAGTCCTATACCACTTCCAGCGCTTCTTCTTGATTTCGTCCTCCGCTGGGATGTGGTTTGTTCTCTCTCATAGTAGGTTGTTGTTGATAGTGTCTAACCAATCGGTCTGAAGTATTTTGTGTAGACAACTGTTAATAAACACTTGTATCTTCTGAAAGACGGCTTTCGTAGTTCTCCCGGTTCCCGCCCCATACAGTAGAACTGTCTTGACACTTGTATTGAAAATCCTGACCTTGGTGTTGGCTTGTGAACTGTTGTTTTGAGTTCCAGATGTTCTTCAATTCTAGATATGCTGCTCTTGCTTTGCCGATCCGCGCATTCACATCTGCATCAGATCCACCGTGTTCATCAATGATGCTGCCCAAATATATAAAGGTTTTTACATCTTCCAAATCTTCTCCGTCAATTGTGATTTGATTGGTGCATGTTGTGTTGTATCGGAGAATCTTGCTTTTTCCTTTGTGTATGTTGAAACCTACTGCTGCTGCTACACTGGTCGTCTTCTTCTGCATTTGTTGTTGCGCGTGCGATAAACGGGTCAGATCATCTGCGAAGTCTAGATCGTCCAGCTGCATTCGTTACACAGTAACTTTATAGTCATGTAATCTAATTACAAGCACCAGAGTCCGACCACACAACTTATCACTAGTTAAAAGTCAAGTGTTTCAACTAAACAACCACCGTGTTTTTTGTAACAAAATCAACATATATACTCATTGTGCTGATCAGTAAATGAGGCACATCAATAACAGAACACAACAGCTGTACACACAGGAACAAATAGAAAAGTTGGAAAAAAAGAAACTCACTGTAATTTTAATTTGTTGTTCTTTAGAATCATGATGAGAATCCTTTTTTTCAGGAAAAACAATTTGTTTAGGTGATATAAAACTAGTGACAGATGAATTTAATGCAGAGATTGTTGCACCATCATCATCATCATCATCGGATAGATTTATACTTTTATTGACTGATGATGGTGTATTCATTATTGACTTTGATTCATTATTTGTACATTCATAGATATAAGCATCATTACTTAAAGATTTATTTCGATTAGACTGGGAAAAACACAGTGATTTTAAATTGCTTTTAGGCTCATTGTTTATATTTTCACTGATTGTTTTTGCCGTTGTTCTTCTCGTTGGTGTGTTATTCTTTATTGGTGTTGTTGTTTTATTACCACTATGATTAGTATTATTATCATTATTATTCATAGTTGTTTTATGCCACCAATTTGGTTGAGGATCTTTTCCAGACACAAGAAATGTATCTATTTCATCTAGGATTGATTTCAATTCTTTGACATCAGGCATTCTTTTCTACAATTTTATTTTACAATTATTAATAAGTAAAAAGTTTAAGAATTTAAGTGGTTTTCATATGATTATAAGGAATAACTTAAAAATCAAGTAAAACGAACGCTTTGACTGACTCATTTGTGACGTTCAAGACTGTGAAGATGGTTGATGTAGGCAGGTTTAACTGAGACTGGGAGCACCAGTGTCAATTAGCGAGAAACTTAAGTTGAGGATATAACACTGACTACTTCCAATCGGAAACATTGTAAAACTGTCTCATTTGTTTTAAACTTTATTTTGTTTCAAATAAACCGTAAGTCAGAAACCGAGGTACTAATTTGGCTTTCATATTTGAGACAAATGTATTATCTGAAGTCTGTAAACAATTCTGCTCCCCTAATGCATCAAGGCTTTAGCCCCCCCCCCCTAATGACATATGGAAAGACAATGGATAATATTTAGTTCTAAAAGACATGATACACCCGAGCATGAGTGAATGCGATTGAACATTGTGGATTCCATTCTCAAGTTGAAAAACCGACAAACCCTAATTGATCGATTAGTTAAATATGTCAAAAAATTATAATGATGAACATTTCTGGGAATAGAAACGTATGAATATCTAATCTTTCCCAATTTCCAATTGCTTTATGGATATAATATTAGGAAAGGTCGAAATCCACTTCACTAAAAGACGTATCTTTCTTTTTACAACTAAATTGCTTTCAACTAATTTATGAAGTACATATTTACGTGCTTAGCCTTGAGCAACGCTAGATGAGGGTTGGTGATGTTCTACGGTTAGCCATATTTTACCAAGCTGAGCAGGATTCAAACCTGAGATCAACTGGCTGAAAGCTGGGTATTTTAACCACTAGTTCATTGCTCCAAAGTTTTTATACGTTCGGATTGTGGTGGTTTTAGAAACATTTTTATTATAACCCTTTTATCTCGTATAACTCCGCCTGGAGTCCCTCTGGGGGCTACTGCCGGTCCCAAGCCCGGATAAAGGAGGAGGGTTGGGCATGGGGTTAGCGTCCCCATCCCGTAGAAAAATAACTCGCTAAAAAACGCTAACCAGAAAAATTATTCAAACCTTTTAAACTCTGCCCTGGGAGTCAGAAGATCTTCATTTAGAAGAATTATGACGCCTCATGATGAAAGCCGAATCCCTTCGGAAGTTATGAGGCCGATGCCCCTTCTGACAACCAGAGCGACCATTTATTTAGGTACATGGAATGTTCGTACAATGTGGGACACCGGGAGAGCCTTCCAGATTGCTGCAGAAATGAGAAGATACAACCTAGAGGTACTTGGGATCAGTGAAACACATTGGACACAAGTTGGACAACAACGACTAACTACAGGAGAGCTCCTGTTATACTCCGGCCACGAAGAAGAAAATGCACCACATACACAAGGAGTTGCATTGATGCTGTCCAAACAAGCACAAAAGGCACTTATAGGATGGGAATCTCATGGACCAAGGATCATCAAAGCCTCCTTCAAAACAAAGAAAGAGGGCATTTCAATGAACATCATTCAATGCTATGCGCCTACCAACGACTACAATGAAGACGCGAAAGATCAATTCTACAATAGGCTGCAGTCAATCGTCGAGAAGTGCCCAACAAAGGACCTGACCATTCTGATGGGAGATTTCAACGCCAAGGTTGGAACGGACAACACTGGATATGAAGACATCATGGGACGACACGGACTGGGAGAAAGAAACGAAAATGGTGAGAGATTTGCAAATCTATGTGCCTTCAATAAGCTGGTCATAGGCGGCACCATATTCCCACATAAACGCATACACAAAACCACATGGACTTCACCGGATCACTCTACACAAAACCAAAACGACCATATTTGCATCAACAAAACGTTCAGGAGGACTATAGAGGACGTGAGAACCAAGAGAGGAGCTGATATAGCATCAGATCATCACTTACTGGTCGCCAAGATGAAATTGAAACTCAAGAAGCACTGGACAACGGGGCAGACAGTATCACAAAAGTTCAATACGGCCTTTCTCCAGGATACTAACAAACTCAACAAATTCAAGATAGTCCTCAGCAACAAGTTCCAGGCCTTTCATGATCTACTCAATGGAGAAGGAACTACTGTGGAGAGCAACTGGAAGGGGATCAAGAGGCAATCACTTCAACATGTCATGAGGTCCTGGGTCACAAGAAACACCACCACAAGGAATGGATCACTGTTGGTACATTGGACAAGATTCAAGAAAGGAGGAACAAGAAGGCAGAGATCAATACCAGCCGAACAAGAGCAGAAAAAGCCAAGGCACAAGCTGAATACACGGAAATAAACAAACAAGTGAAGAGGAGCATCAGAACCGACAAACGTAAATATGTGGAAGATTTAGCAACGACGGCGGAAAAGGCTGCAAGAGAAGGAAACATGAGACAATTGTATGACACGACAAAGAAACTCTCTGGAAATCGCCGCAAACCAGAACGACCAGTGAAAAGCAAGGAAGGCGAGGTAATCACCAACATTGAGAGCAACAAAACAGGTGGGTAGAACACTTCAAAGAACTCTTGAATCGACCAGCCCCACTGAACCCACCCAACATCGAAGCAGCACCCACGGACCTCCCAATTAATGTTGGCCCACCAACAATTGAAGAAATCAGCATAGCCATCAGACAAATCAAGAGTGGCAAAGCAGCAGGACCGGACAACATCCCAGCAGAGGCACTAAAAGCAGACGTAGCGGCAACTGCACGGATACTCCACATTCTCTTCAATAAGATTTGGGATGGGGAACAAGTACCAACAGACTGGAAAGAAGGACTACTGATCAAAATACCGAAGAAAGGCGATCTCAGCAAGTGTGATAACTACAGGGGCATCACTCTTCTCTCAATACCGGGAAAAGTCTTCAACAGAGTATTGTTAAACAGGATGAAGGACTGCGTAGACTCACAACTTCGTGACCAACAGGCAGGATTCCGTAAGGATAGATCGTGTACAGACCAAATCGCAACTCTACGGATCATTGTGGAACAATCAATTGAATGGAATTCATCACTCTACATCAACTTCATTGACTACGAAAAGGCATTTGATAGCGTGGACAGAACAACACTATGGAAACTTCTTCGACACTACGGCGTGCCTCAGAAGATAGTCAATATCATACAGAACTCATATGATGGATTACACTGCAAATTGTGCATGGAGGACAGTTGACAAAGTCGTTCGAAGTGAAGACCGGTGTCAGGCAAGGTTGCTTACTCTCACCCTTTCTCTTTCTCCTGGTGATCGACTGGATCATGAAGACGTCAACGTCTGAAGGAAAGCGCGGGATACAATGGACATCTAAGATGCAGTTGGATGATCTAGACTTCGCAGACGATCTGGCCCTTCTATCCCAAACGCAACAACAGATGCAGGAGAAGACAAACAGTGTGGCAGCAGCCTCAGCAGCAGTAGGTCTCAATATACACAAAGGGAAAAGCAGGATTCTCCGATACAACACAGAATGCACCAATCCAATCACAATTGACGGAGAAGATTTGGAAGATGTAAAAACCTTTACATATCTGGGAAGCATCATTGATGAACAGGGTGGATCTGATGCAGATGTGAAGGCGCGGATCGGCAAAGCAAGAGCAGCATATTTACAACTGAAGAACATCTGGAGCTCAAAGCAACTGTCAACCAACACCAAGGTCAGGATTTTCAATACAAATGTCAACACAGTTCTACTGTATGGGGCAGAAACCTGGAGAACTACAAAAGCCATCATCCAGAAAATACAGGTGTTTATCAACAATTGTCTACGCAAAATACTTCGGATCCATTGGCCGGACACTATTAGCAACAACGTACTGTGGGAGAGAACAAACCAGATCCCAGTGGAGGAAGAAATCAGGAAGAAGCGCTGGAAGTGGATAGGACACACATTGAGGAAAGCACCCAACTGCGTCACAAGACAAGCCCTCACATGGAATCCTGAAGGTCAAAGGAAAAGAGGAAGACCAAAGAACACATTACGCCGAGAAATGGAGATAGACATGAGAAAACTGAACAAGAATTGGATGGAACTAGAAAAGAAGGCCCAGGACAGAGTGGGTTGGAGAATGCTGGTCAGCGGCCTATGCTCCATTGGGAGTAACAGGCGTAAGTAAGTAAGTAAGTAAGTTTATCTCGTATCTTTTTACTTCGCTTGAGTATACTGCATCTTTTATGAAGTAATTTACTTGTATTAACGAATGGTGAGTAACACTTTGGTGTAGTTGTATCTGAGTGTCCATCATGCATAACCAGTCACTAATAATGCTGCCACGCCAAATCAGAGGGAAAGGTTAAACAGGTTTGGTCGTAACGAAACTATATTAATCTTGCTTCATTTCCGTTCTGCAGTCATTAAAATCACCACCACTAACCCAATTTTCTTTCCAGACCCCTCGAGAAATAACAATTTCCTACAATGTCACAAATTTAAAAATGAAAACCACCTAGATACTTTTAACAACACATCGATTTGCTTTGTAGATTTAACCTAACAAGGGCTTCGAGTTTCCTATCAATAAATTCGATATGTTTGCAATTTAAAAATGAACAAGTTCCATAGAAAAGCGATATGTTGTCATTTAGAGATGAGCAAGTTCTATTGGCCGACGGATAATAGCAGGAAAGGTTTACTAGATATAGAACATCCAAATCCGTACCGATAAAATAAAATGCATTTATTCTAGTCAGTCATTCAGTCAAACGCAACATAAAACCTGACATATGTACATATCATTTCAAGTAGTCATACTCCAGAAGCACGGAGAGATTACATTATCAGAGCAGATCTCAGAGTAGTGGGGTTAGCAACAGTAATAATGATAATAAAAAATATTAGGTATCCAAGATAGAACTTGACAAAATGCAAACTAGATAAAGGAAGAGCCCATCTAGGGTAGTTGGAAAACCCTGATTCCAAACCAATAATGCACATAGGCTCCAGTATTCTGAAGGAACAAATGGCGTATGAACCAATCGTTGGTCACCGGCTACCATGGGACTGACTTGTGGATCAGATTTTAGGTCGGTGGCTTCGGGTGTAGCCCCCTAAGAAAACCACCTGTTTCGGTTTTGGCACACGGACAGTATCCCAGCCCTCACACAAATCGAATGATTTATGTGGTACATATCTAATTGGTGCCTCATTGTACCAATGTTTATGTGTTTAAATAAATAAATAATACCATACTGGGATCGGTCCAGTAATTAAATCATAGGGTTATTTTTGAAAGGCTAAACAGGCTAATGTCAAAGAAATAATAGTTATCTGATGTTAAGTAATGAACAGATATTGTTATGTCCGATAAATGAACTATTTTGCTGACATGAATACTTTTACAGCGCTAATGAAAAGATGATCTACACATACATCATATACATCAATATACGTGGATGGTGGTAATATGACAGTATGAGTTATTGTAGAAATGGACGATTCATTGTTATGTATATGAATAGGTGTTCTGAATATTCTGACACTTTGTGTTGAATCTGTGTGGTAACTTTGGGGATCCACTTATGGACCCAATACCATACGTATATTTTTATTGTATAATTGTTGAGTAACTATACTATTCATATTTGTGTTCCACTTATTATAAGCTTTATTTTGATCTATGAACTATTATTATACGATTAACCATTGTTGAGTTGTGCCCTGTCTATTAATTGCTACCTCAAACATTCACAGCCCCTTTTCGCTAGAACTTGTACAAATATTGATTCCTATTTTATGGTACGACGTGGTCTGTTTGGTTTGTATATAAACCCGGTATATTTGAAATACATGATTCATATCGCGGAGGCTGGGATTGATGTTCTCGACTCAATGGGCAGAGCTAGGCAGGAAGCAGGACAGATAAGGACTCTAGACTGCTCTTACTTGTTTTATGCGTCATTAGTTCGGTCGATAATTGACTGTTGTTAGCGGGACATAGACTAGATTAAAGCATGCTCAATGCATGATTGTTTTGGTGCACGCTGATTGGCTGATTCTTATCCAATCAGCACTAGACGATAGTCGGAGAATACTCTGGAATCTTCTTATGTAAAAACTATAAATATACCAACGTTTTCCCCTATTGTGCTTCCTACTGGCTTCTGACTTGCTATTTGGAATATAATCTTTTCCCTGTTCAACCGTGTTCTGATTTGGGGACTTGTCGAGTGAATCAGTGTCCGAGAATACTAAGTAATAGGAATAGCTGGGTCATTAACCGTAGTAAGAAAACAGATTATAACAACTGTTCTCTAATTGGCAGTATCATTACACTATATATTAATAGAGCACAAGGCTACCAGGTGTAACAAAAACAAAAATTGAAACATTATCATAATAGACTTACATCTTCAGGAACTTTTTCAATTGCTTCAGATAATTGAAGATGACATAAAGCTAAACACAAAGGTAGATCAACATGATCTCTTAAACCTAAATGACCATGTTGGTTTGTTGGTAGAGGAGGTAAACAAATTGAGTTACATATCGATCTTGTAGACTGACACTTCTGAGACATAGAACTCCCACTTACACTTGATTTGAAATCATTCTGTTTATGAAATTATAAAAAAAGAATGGTCAGTTAATTAATTATATTATAGGAAAGTTGATAGAATTCTGAGGAAATTTCTAAGAATAGTGATACTCTTTATCAGATAGCCAAAAGATTATATAACATTCAATTAAAATGTTTTAATTGAGAAAGTGAAGCAATTTCATTGATTATATCACTAAATTAGGTTTAGAATTGTGAAAATAAAATCGATTTCTTTCAGATTCCCAGAAATTAGCAAGGCTATAAACTCCCATAAGCTTTCAAGCGGTCATGGAATAGACGGAATTTCATTCTTTTTCTAGAAAATATAGTGGATCAGATATTTCACTTCTTTTAAAGTTATTTAATCCCTCTGGAAGCAGGTACTCATTCTCACTGTTGGAAAACTGCATATATCATACCACGTCACACATCTGGAGATGAGAGTGGCATAAAGAATTATCGGTCCATGAATATTACTCCAGTTATCTCCAGGATTATGGAAAAAATTATTGGTGACAAACTCGCCAACTATTTACTCACTGAAAAACTTATCACTGGTTCCTTAAAAATCAACCACGTATGACCTACCAATTAAACTTCTTCAATTTAGTGTCTACTCAACATGACCAACGATGTCTAGTCTTAACGTCATACTTTGACATTTCTAAAGCTTTGACGTGGTAAGCAACCAGCTTTTTATAAGCAAATTTACATCTTACGACGTCAAAAACCCTCTGCTTCCTCGGTTTCATTCTTATCTCAGTCACTAACACGAAATAGTCGGAACCAACTCCTCCTTGTCGAATCCTATCCCGATCGAAATGGCGTGATACAATGTAGTGTCTTAGATCTTTTGCTCTGAAATTGCCTCTTTATGGATGAGCCTCGTCTAAAGGAAGATGATCTGAAATCAGTGTGTTCATTTTCTTATGAGATGAACAATGTGCAAAATTGCATTAGAATGGAGTTCAACGAAGTAGCCCAACGGTCTTCGAAATGGCAGTTGGAACTTAACACGGTTAAGTGTGGATGGATGTGCTTCTGTAATACTTCACTCAAGCTAGACTTTACCATAAATGGTAAGGTGTTATCCAAGTTACATACAATAGTGGACTTAGGTACTCCTACAATTTACCCTTCACAGAACAGGTCTCGAAACAGGCCTCCGAATATCATCATCTGAGTTGCGTAATTCGTAACCTCTATAACGAGTCAAGTATTTTGATTTATTAAGTATGTGTTCTACCACTCCTAGAATATTGCAAGCTTATTCTTACTAGAGTTCACATAAATGATAAATTAAGGTTGGAATTCCTTTAGAGATGATTTACACTTATTACATACTATGCACTCATGAGGTTCGTTTATTACAACGGTACTTCACAGGTGTGACTTGTTTTATAGTAGATCTCCTTTCTTTTATTTCACTCACTGCTTTCTTATTACCTGGTACAGTTTTTATAAACCAGACCATATTGAACCTGTTGTTTTTTGCTTGTCTGTGCTGAGAGTTGACTGTTGTTGCTGAGTGAATCACCTTGGGTATGAACTTTCCAACTTAAGATAACCAATATATATGCTGAGAAGCCAGGGCAGTCTTTTGACTTTAGTTGACCTTGGTTACGTTACTCTAGTGTAGTTAACGGTACTTAGTGTTTATGTTAGGAACAATATTAATACCTGGTTTCCTAAACCGTAATAGATGGACTTACCGCTATGCTAGCGCTTGAGTTATTAACCACTGATATCGATACGTTTATGGGATTCAGTTCAAATATAAACAATTACTATACTCCTGCTGAACAGTAATGAGATTTGAAAAATAATCAGTAAAATCGATTGAGTAGGTACACAAATCATCGTTGTATACACTTTTATCTTCCTGACCCAGACAAGGCAATGGAGACTAAGACCTTGATCAGAAACATTATTGGCCTTCGCCATTAGTATTTCTTGTTTATAGTCTCTTAACTACGGTTTGATGTTGAGATGGCATATGAGTGCCGAAATATGATATCCTTAGACTTTCCTAGCCTATCAGATACAATAATATAAGTTAAACTGTGAGATAACTACGAGCTAGTGGTAAATAAAAGTAAGGTCTTAGGTTAGCTATGGATCATTTATGATAGCTAGTTACTATTAACTTGAATAAATTGCTCGAGTGACTTCCATAACAGTTATCACGAGTGTTTGAAAAAACAATACCATGTCCGGAACGAAACGTTTTAGTGGATTATCATCAACATAATTCCTAATGCTTCGTATATGACTCGTCCTGATGACCGTTACTAGATAACTCTCAACGATGTATAAATTTCAGAAGACTATACGAAGCTTTGGGTACAGCATATTATTGTACAGTCCACATCACATAAAGCGAATACGAGTGGCTGATAGCGAGCGAATAAAAAGGCATGTGGAGCATATATATATATATATATATATATATATATATATATATATATAATACTCTGCCAAGTGACCTTCAAATCTTTTTGCACACAAAGTTGATCAAAACTAAAAGTTATCAACTTACTGATTTATTTGTGATCTCTGAACTTGTGAAAACAGGTGAATGCTGAGAATGACTTGGATAATTTTTATAATCATCAATATCATTGATAAATCCACCATGATGTGATTGACTATTATTGATAAAATGATTATTCTCTTTAGAACCATTTTTCATTTTACCTTTATTGGAAATTGTAGATTTCAGACAATTTTCATCAGAACCAATTATATGTAAAGAATTTGGCATAGAACCATTATTAGTATTACCGTTAATAGTACTTAGATTACTATTGTTATTATTATAAATATTTGACAAAGAATTAATTGGTTTCAAAACTGTATCACTACTCAACAATGATTTATGTGACGAAGTAGATTTCGGATTTGGGACTGAAATCGATTGTAGAAACTGTCTCATTGCTGGAAGTTGATCTGTAACAAATTGATTCATAAATTTCATATAGGTTTCTTTAGAACCACTGAATAAACTGAAATTTGCTAATGTTTGAATTGTTTTAGCAACCTGTAATATAATTAGAGCAGAGAATTTAAAAATAGACACATCGTATTTACATTAAAACGGCAAAAGAATTTAAAACAGGTAAACTAAAAAGACTCTTGACTACACACAAACGCTATAAATGAAATAAAACATAACACAATTTTTATGTCCTTTTCGCCAGTGTCTAACCTAAGTTGTAGTTCTTCTTCGGCTTCCCGTCTTTTTACGCGGTCTGTCAACAGCAAGTCCTTACGAATAAAAACTCCTGAACCCTATAATTTATGTCCATTCTGTAAAATTAAGTCGTGTTCACTTGAAGATTTCAATACTACTTTAAGCAATCTCGATTAATTAATCTTCAAGTTCGCTGGACTACCTAGTCTGTACACCTTAAGCAAGTTGACTCCGAGGATATTTTAAGGCATCAGTTGAATAAGCAGCTGTTGTATCAGCACAATGTCATGCTCAAAACGAGTTTTCGGTTCTGAGCTTTCACTCTCATTGATTGTATGAAAAATAACTGATCTGCCACTGTGATCAGCCTTCAATTTCTCGACTACTTTTATGGGGCACGATTCCCTTTTATATCGTTATATTGTTTCTTCCTTACAACCTGTACCCAATCGTCAAGGTTGCTAGGAGAAGCAACCACAGTTGCGTCAAACATACTGTGGGATTACGGAGGGTTGTCGACGATGTGGGAGGTCAGGTTATGTTTCCCGCTAGAAACCGATCGAGCCTTGCGATTGCGGCTTCTAGGCGTTTCCTGCTGGATGCCATTTGGAAGACGGGGAACAGAAGAACCTACTTTTCTTGAGTTTTTGGTTAAGACAGACCTCTTTGGATACTGTTTTTTCTTTTTTGATCGGTGTGTCACCTATTTTCGAACTCACCTGAGTTGACTTCATATCAATTTGCGTGTCGACAGAGCGAGTACTGTTCGATGGGTCCCGGCTACGATTGCTAAAACAGTTTTTCACAGCATCTAGCAGTGAGTTGGCCTCAGTTAACAAGCTGTTTGCATCCGAACAGCACTATTCACAAAGCCGAATGCAACCCTTTTTGTTGAACCTTTTGAAAGCCGTAGGCGTTAAATTCGTGCAAACTTCGTGGTACCAGCCTTTGCACTCATCGCACTGCATGCCGCTTTCAACGGGATAACGACAACCCGGACTTTGGCAATTGCTTTTTTTGCACTGTCCAGTCATTAAACGGGGGTCTTTTTTTTTATAAAAAAAGAACTAGATGCAATAATACTCAGAGACAAAAATGATCTATGGCCAAAAAAAGTAGAAATCTGTAGATTGTTAGAACCAAAAGTACTAACAGATACAATAGAAAACAACGTACCGACGACAAACTAATTTAGAAACAGAAACGATACTCTAATCGAATACTTTAACTGAAATAAATTCAATTAAAGTGAAAACAATAGTCTTGATAGATAATAAACGATCAAAACAATAGAATTTACTCAGCGAGGAAAAATACCACTGTCCTTTTAATTAGCGCGCGCGTTGTTTTCATTGCTTTTCTTATTGTACTTCCTACTCTTTCATCTACCATTGTTATTTGGAATACGATTTCTTTCCTGTTCGACCGTGTTCTGATTTGGGGCCTTATTGAGTGAATTGGTGTCCAAGAATACTAAGCAAAGAGAATAGCTGGGTTGTAATAAGAGAGAATAATAACAGTAGCGATGAAGAAAAAGGAAAACAAATTCAAGATGCCTATTTCAGATGACCAGCTGATCTAGATAAGCTGCTGTACCAGATATACTTGTTAGCATCGTATCCATTATTTGCTGAAAGAAGGCAGGTGCAGTCTTGATGCCAAATGGTAGACGGGTGTATTGAAATAACCCTCAATGAGTGTTAATACTCAGAAGCTCTCTACTATCTTCATCTACTTCCACTTGCCGATAGGCATCGGAGAAGTCTATTTTCGTGAGACATGTTCCACCATTAAGCTTGGAAAACAGGTCTTCAGGAACTGGTAACGAATACTGATATACATCCAATGCAGCATTTAAACCGGTTGAGGAATCAGCACATATGCATATAGTTACATTGGCCTTCTTAATCACTACGATCGGTGCGGCCCATGCAGAGAAGTTGAATGGTTGGATTACACCAGCTTGTTGCAAGCGATTAAGTTCCTGATCGACTAGCTCAAGAGCAGCATATGGTACAGGACGTCTCGGACGAAAAATAGGTTTGGCATCTGGTTTCACTGGTAAGTGAGCTTTCATCTTGGTACAATGGTCAAGGTTATTCTGAAAAACAGAGGCAAACTTTCTCTTCAGTTTTCCTAGTAAACTTTCACCTGTCTTCTTTGCAAGTACTGGGGTGTCCAATGATGAACACGACACTTTGCAGACGCTGTTAATGGGTACATCCATTATTCCAAGTTTTTCTAGCATACCTAGACCAAGAAGATAGAATTTAGGCCGTTCAGTTAGATAGCATATTCATATACAGTTGGTTTGTCACAAGTTGTTATCGTTCTCTTTTAGACACTGCAGTGTTCAAGGCGACTGCATGTTGGTTTTGTGGTGATTGACATTGTGTACGATTCTGTTCATCAGGTGGTATGCTAAAACATTGGTGAATTACAGTGTGAATTTTCTTTCAATGAAACTAACTGTACATGAATATGCTATCTAACTGAACGGCCTAAATTCTATCTTCTTGGTCTAGGTATGCTAGAAAAACTTGGAATAATGGATGTACCCATTAACAGCGTCTGCAAAGTGTCGTGTTCATCATTGGACACCCCAGTACTTGCAAAGAAGACAGGTGAAAGTTTACTAGGAAAACTGAAGAGAAAGTTTGCCTCTGTTTTTCAGAATAACCTTGACCATTGTACCAAGATGAAAGCTCACTTACCAGTGAAACCAGATGCCAAACCTATTTTTCGTCCGAGACGTCCTGTACCATATGCTGCTCTTGAGCTAGTCGATCAGGAACTTAATCGCTTGCAACAAGCTGGTGTAATCCAACCATTCAACTTCTATGCATGGGCCGCACCGATCGTAGTGATTAAGAAGGCCAATGTAACTATATGCATATGTGCTGATTCCTCAACCGGTTTAAATGCTGCATTGGATGTATATCAGTATTCGTTACCAGTTCCTGAAGACCTGTTTTCCAAGCTTAATGGTGGAACATGTCTCACGAAAATAGACTTCTCCGATGCCTATCGGCAAGTGGAAGTAGATGAAGATAGTAGAGAGCTTCTGAGTATTAACACTCATTGAGGGTTATTTCAATACACCCGTCTACCATTTGGCATCAAGACTGCACCTGCCTTCTTTCAGCAAATAATGGATACGATGCTAACAAGTATATCTGGTACAGCAGCTTATCTAGATCAGCTGGTCATCTGAAATAGGCATCTTGAATTTGTTTTCCTTTTTCTTCATCGCTACTGTTATTATTCTCTCTTATTACAACCCAGCTATTCTCTTTGCTTAGTATTCTTGGACACCAATTCACTCAATAAGGCCCCAAATCAGAACACGGTCGAACAGGAAAGAAATCGTATTCCAAATAACAATGGTAGATGAAAGAGTAGGAAGTACAATAAGAAAAGCAATGAAAACAACGCGCGCGCTAATTAAAAGGACAGTGGTATTTTTCCTCGCTGAGTAAATTCTATTGTTTTGATCGTTTATTATCTATCAAGACTATTGTTTTCACTTTAATTGAATTTATTTCAGTTAAAGTATTCGATTAGAGTATCGTTTATATATTTTATATTTTTTATATTATTATTAGCTTTATTCAATATTATAATTTTGGTACAATATAGAATTCTCAGCTCAAAGTATTTCAACAAGTTTCCGTTTCTTTCTTCTTGGTCGGTCCTGGCGATAAATATTGAGAAAACGCCAGTTAGATGTTAGCACTTCAGTGAATGAACAACTGAATAATGTGCATTCTTTTCGTTGTACATTGCCAGCAACCATATTGTCTCTTATTGAGTTTTCTGTAACTTTGACAACGAAAGGTTGTACACTTTTCAGAAACGCAGCAGAATAGGTTATGCGATTAATAAACATAATGATATATTAAAACAAACAACGATAGATAACTTGTTGAAATATCTAGATGGCAGGAACAGGTAGCCCAGATGCTCAAGCAGGCCGCCCTGTTTCTAAATTAGTTTGTCGTCGGTACTTTGTTTTCTATTGTATCTGTTTGACTCAGAGTCCTCAATTTAAACGGCTTGGGACGCATTTCGAAATTTATACTTGAAATTTACTGCACCCCTCATTCCCTGACCTATACTAAGGAAGCCGACAAACTCTCCACTATGGTTCAGTAAAGAGGTCCGCATTCTTCTCCGTAAGAGAAGAAAAATGTGGGATATATTTGGGTTACTGCGGACTGATGAGACAAAATCTCAGTATCGAAAAGCTCGGAATACCTGTGCATCAACCCTCCGTAAGTCTAGAAAGTCGTGCGAAGAAAAAATTGTTAAGGAATCCATAGAATGTCCTAAACGCTTGTATTCCTATATAAACCAAAGGACAAAATGAAGAGGAAATATTCCTGTACTATGGGTAGACAGTATTGCCGCATCACTATTGGAGGACGACTTTAGTAAGGCTCAAGTGTTCTCGAACTACTTTACCTATGTATATACCATAGAAGCACCCCTCCAGTCAGGGCATACAAATCCCTCCACACATACACTGGATAGCGTGACCATTAAAGAACTCCATGTCTTCGGTCCGCTAAATAAGTCTGACATAGGTAAATCCACGACGCTCGATGAATCGCATCCTAGGCTAATGAAGGAATTATCCAACTTCGTTGCGAACCCTTTAGGTATATGCTTTAACCTATCCGTTACGCAGGGTCGTTTACCAAAATACTGGAAGAACGACATAGTAAGTCCTGTCTTCAAAACAGGTACGAAACATAAACCTGAGAATTACCAATCCGTTAGCCTAACTAGTGTGGTTGTTAAAATCTTAGAAAAGATTATTCGGAAGGAGCTGTTTAAGTATCTCGATCAAAGCCGGATCCTTTCGGAGAAGCAGCACGGTTTCAGAATAGGTCATTCTTGTCTCACTAACTTATTAGTCGCTATTAAGGACCAAAAGTTGCCTGTGGACGCAACCTACATTGATTTCAGCAAAGCTTTTGATAAAGTTACGCACAACTCGCTGTTGTATAAGCTAAGAAATGTCGGAATCAAAGGCAATCTATTGGTGTGGATAAGACATCCTTGTTAGGCGCCAACAAAGAGTAGGAGTGAACTCAAAGTTATCTAGCTGGGAAACTGTGCTTAGTGGAGTGTCCCAGGGTACAGTTTTGGGGCCAGTGCTATTCCTCTTGTATGTAAATGACCTTCCTCGCCTCCTATCATCATCGGTCTTGCTACATGCTGACGATGTCAAGATATGGAGAACGATACGATGTAAGGGTGATAGCTTAGAACTCCAAAATGACCTGAAGAAATTATCTGAATGGTCTCAAACCTGCCAGTTGCCGATAAATACTTCCAACTGTGTTGTGATGCATATCGATCATCAAGGTACAGATACACACACGATGAATAACACAGAACTACTTGTCGTCCAGACACATAATGACTTGAGAGTCGTCGTTAACCAAGACTTAAAGTCTACTGCACACTGCCGTGCAATAGCCACCAAAGGTTTTAGAACCTTATGGTCAATACGTAGGGCTTTTAGTCATGTCAACGCTAAAACGTTTTTGACTTTGTATACAGTGTTCACACTTCCGAAACTTGAATATTGCATACAAGCGACTAGCCCCTGCTTAAAATCAGACAGCGAGCTTCTGGAAAAGGTTCAGAGAACAGCAACTAAGCTGATTCCCGGAATAGCGAAGCATCCGTATGATGCTCAACTGGCCAAGCTAAACCTTTTCCGGTTGTCACATCGCAGAAATAGAGGCGACTTGATTACAGTCTACAAATCGCTTAGTGATAAATTTGCACCTAATATGCCCTCATTTTTCTTGTCTTCCAAAACAGAGAATTTACGAGAACACTCCAAAAAAGTTCACAAGCCCAGAACAAATTACTTGTCAGATGACTATCGACTTTCCCATCGAATCATCAACGAGTGGAACTCATTACCTCAGCACATGGTTGAGGCTCCATCCGTCGACTATTTCAAAAGAAAGTTGGATCAACTGAGAGACCACCATTGCCAGGACTAACATAGGCCATCGAGCCTCCTGTCCTTCCCAAACTGAAACTGAAACATATTTATAGTTTTTACATGAGAAGATTCTAGAGTGTTCTCCAAGTATCGACTAGCGCTGCACCAAGGCAATTGTCCGATATCCCCTTAACAGTACTCAGTTTCTAAATGTTTATCAACTGAAAATCAAGGATTATTAAATTTTTCCAAGTCCCATAAAACTAAACAGGCTTTTAAATAAAATGCCTAAAATTTTACACTACTTGATATTTACAGTTAATCTTACTCTTCAAAATTACTTATTCATAACATTGTTATCAGTTTAATTCCACATGCATAAATGTTCGTCAAATAAAAACAAATCCTTTATCATGATAATCAGCTATTAAAATCTACGTGGTTTAAGAAACAATCATAGAAACTATTTCACAACAATGTTAAAGCAAAATATGCCAGCAATACGTCGTTAGTTTGCATAATGTGATGTATGTATTTTATTCAAAACCACCTAACCACAACCAATTACATCAGTGGATCTTGTCATAAGCAAGCAAGAACATGGAAAAAATATATTTCGGTTCAAGTTGTCGCACTTTACACTAGCATATCCTCAAGTTCCAATAAAAAGTTTTTCGTATTCATCAATTAATGTGGGGTTGATTGTTTTGGAAAATACGAAGATGGTGTAAGTTCCCAAAATCCAAAAGATCTATTTATACACATGTTGAAACCACAGTGGATATAAACCTACTCAGATAGGCTCATTAGTCGATATATCCAACTTTCAGTATAGGGTTGTGGAGATTATTAAGTTTTTGAGATCATGAACTTATTGATGTTAGACCACCATTGAAAACCTGAAAACACTGGACAGCCGTTTCGTCCTATTGTGAGACTGCTCAGCAGGGCGCATCCACGATTCCGCGAGCGAGATTCAAACCCACAGCCTTCAGTCTCGCGCGCGAACGCTTAACTCCTAAACTACTGAGCCGGCCGGATCCCAACGGTGTTAATGTCTAACCCCAATCAATCCACGAAACATCTATCAGCTTATATAACAGTTCATAGTTTAAGTTTGAAGTCTAGTTAAAAGATTGACAATTTTATATGATCTAAAAGTTACATTTAGATATCAATTTTCATTATCGCTTTAACAAGAAAACAAATGTCTATCTGTAATGATATGTTGACTAAATTATATTTATATCAGAAGGGCTTTTTTGGATATATTGTAGTAATTTCAATGGTTGAGATTATGAGTCAATTGAAGCTAGAAAACCATAGAAAACCTGGAAGCACTGGACGACTGTTTCGTCCCATTGTGGGACTCCTGAGCAATGCACATCCACGATTCCGCCTCGCAAGATTCGAATTATTTACTATTATTATTATATTTTCTAAAAAAAACAAACAAATTATCACTTACCAAAGTGAATGCACGTAATATACGTGGTTCACTAGGAAATTCATAAATTAAATTAAATAATGAAGGTGATAAAATAGCTGGACAAATATAACGTAGAAATAAACAAGCTGATATAACATGTTCACATAATGTACCACCATTATTAATTGTAGAATTAGACGAATTTAATCCATCATAATGTTTATTAGAAATATTATTCATTGATGAATAATTACTTTTTATACTATTTTCTAAATATCGTCTAATCTCTACAAATAATGCTCTAAATTGTCTATAGAAACAAAGAAATAAAGAAGAAAAAAACGAGTTAAACATGACAAACAATATATTACACATGGAATAATATATTAGTGTAATGGTTTAAGGATATTCAACAAGTAAATCGTTGGTTTAGTTAGTCGCATCATGTATATACTAGCCATCAGACATATAATAAACTTTCCAAGGCGACTAGATAAACTTGTACTTGGTGAATGAATTAAAACACAATACATTGATCACTTTGTTATAATTCTCTCGCATGGTTATAACCCAGCTATTCCTGTTGGTTAGTATTCTCGGACATTAATTCACTCAACAAGTCCCCAAATCAGAACACGGTTGTACAGGCAAAGGGATTATATTCCAGATAACAAGGTTAGATGGAAGTAAAAAGCACAATAGGGAAAACGTTAGTATATTTATAGTTTTTACATGAGAAGATTTCTAGAGTGTTCACTAAGTATTGACTAACGCTGCTTGGTTAAGAATTAGCCAATCAGCGTGCACCAAAGCAATCGTGCATTGAGCATGCTTTAATTCAGTCTATGTCCCGCTAACACACTTTTATACAAAAATAATCTAATTCCATTGATGTGAAGATATATTGTTAGTTTTAAGTTCGAGGAAGTAAGAGTGATTAATGTAGTTTATAAACTGACCTAGGATACACCCAATATTTATAAAGAATAGGTTGATATAGTCGGCTTCGAGCAACACATTTTATGCAAGGATTAGATAAATTAATTGGCTACCCAAAACCAATGTAAATTAAATAGTAAAGTTCGAACTTTAGTTATAATTTATTTCAGACTCAGTGGTATTCCAATGCATTGGGTCTCACTAATTGACCAGTTACTTTTAGTCATTCAGTAAAAAAAGGTTCACTAGTAGCTTTATTCGACCGAACAGATAGTTAAGACATTTTGTTACATGATTATAAATCTTCATTCTGAAATTCATGGTGTTTTTCTGAACTGATAGCTCTCTATTGAAGATGAATGCTTCAATCCGCTAATTAATAAATGAAAAATGTCGTTCAATGACTGAGCTGTCATCCTAGTGATGCTTATGATCTCATTATTGGCTTGCCTCAATTGAAATGACTAACATCTCTTAAAAATTAGTCCATAAAATAAACACCTCAATGATGACATTTGTTATACACCGATCCAACTCCCAGACAAATCCATACTACGCAAAAGACATTTATTATAAATCTGAAGTTTAACATATGTAAGATAAATGAGTATTTGATTTTCAGTGGAATGATCGACACTCATCATTAGATAAACAAATAGATGAATCCCAAAAGACCGAACAATATATATCTAGGCTTAAATTAGTCAATCATGCACTGATTCACTAACTGGAATGTATACACAATCAGTTAAATAAAAGGCATCAAGATTACATCGAATTGAAATAATAATTGAAAAAGAAAATTTACTCTGGAAATTCAACTTCACTTAATAGAATCCGCTTCCATACAGTTTCAACTAAACCTAATAGATTAACTTGATTTTGTGCTAATTGTGTAGACGTTTGCACTTTGGCTATATCAACTTCATAATCGATTGGATAACGATTAGATGTTTTCAATTGTGGATCAACTGGGCGACCACTGATAACAATTTGAACAAAATCAGATAAAATATTAGATAAATACGAACCACCAACAAGACGTAGATAAATTTCTGTTGCTTTAGTTGCTATACTGTTAGCACGTAAAACCATATTTGGATCACCTTGATAACGAAAAGATGATGAGATTGAAATAAAAATTGAAAATACACTAAAGAGTAGTATAATGAGAAAGTGATGACACTAGAACAACTCAGTCATAACTAACATAGGAACGTGTATGAGTATATATCGGTTAGATGAATTCATGTACTGATCCTATGTTGTGATCACACATTTA